ATATATATATATATATATATATATATAGAATATAAATCTACCTTTTTTAACAAAAACTGAAGCTCTTCTGAATAAGTCCCCTATAAACACATCTAGACTTGACCAATCGGGAACAAACATTGAACACTAAATAATATTCAGATTCACTATTTCAGTTTTATTGTGTTTTTATTATCTGAGTTTTGGTGTCTTTGATGAGCTCTGATAGCGTCTGTATGGGTTTATTCTTAGTTTCTTTGTAGTTGTTTTCTGTCAGTTTAGTTCTTGAGTTACTCTCTGCTTCCGCCTTGTGCTTTTCACTTTCACCTTGGCTTCCTCCTAGTTGGTCCAGCCACACCTGCTCCCAATCTGTTCATTAGCCTGTCTTGGTTCAGTCTCCCATATATACACCACCTCTACAGTCACTCAGTGCTGGTTTGTTGTTTTGTTGTTCCCTCGTCTCTGGCTTCCTATGTGAGTTTTCTCTGATGTAAACTGAGTTTTGATTATCAGTATTTTGGATTTCTGAGTCAGTTGCCTATTAAAATTGTACTATTCTCCTCTGCCTCCTGATCTCTGCATTTGGGTCTTTAAAAACCTCCACCCAACCGTGACAGATAGATCTGGAGGAAACAGCTGTTATCAGGCTGTTCTCTACATCCAGTCTGTTCCTCTTTGGTTTTGATGTGTCAAAGCTGAGAAGTTCGCCTCACACACACATAAGGAAAGCCAAAAGGTAAAAGTTCAAACGGTGCATCCTTCTGCAGTTCAGGATATTCTTTCTCCACATCACACCAAAATTCTGTCAATGTCTTTTCAGCAAATGTTATGTTCATCCCCCCATCAGAAGATAAATCCATCAGATCTTTCTGCAGCCTTGTGTGAAGCTGCTACTCTTACAGTGAAAGGGTCCCTCATCCAATTCACTATTTGTTCATTGTCCTGAAAATACTGAATAAAATCAGTGAGAGGATGAACAGATGTGTCTGACCACTGGATCCCTGCCAGCATCAGTGGCAGCAAGATGGGAATCAAGTAGGAAACAACTAACATGCCCTTCATCACATTTTGTTTTCCATAGTGAGCTTTTTGGAGAATCATTTGTTTTGTTATGATGGTTAAGCTCATTAAGTTTAACAAACACATCAGTAAGATATGCCAGCTGTGCCACACACTGGGTATCTTCAGACAACACAGCAAGAGGATGCAGATGATCTTTCAAAAACACAATATTCATAAAGATATCATTTGACATATAGATACTTGGGCACATCTAATCAGAATTACAGCATGAACGTACAGCATGAATACAGTAAGCAAAGAGCCACACTCTGCCAGAATGTAGAGAGAAACAAATATCTAAGCTACGGCAACAGGTTTTCTTTAGGTAGAAAACTTTAAACCAACCATGATCTGGTTGAATTTTCTCTGTAAAGTGCCTTGAGGTGATATGTGTTGTGAATTGGCGCTATATACAGGTGCTGGTCATAAAATTAGAATATCATGAAAAAGTAGATTGATTTCAGTAATTCCATTTAAAAAGTGAAACTTGTATATTATATTNAGGAAATACAAACATACCATATTTATATTTCAGCGACATTTTTAATTTAAATCCCAGCGACACAGATTTACTTCCATATCTTTTCAGCAAATGTTATGTACAGCTCACCATTAGCAGAAAAATCAATCAGATGTCCTTGCAGCCTTGTGGGAAGGTTGCTGCTACTCTTACAGTGAACGGGTCCCTCATCCAATTTACTGTTTGTTCATTGTCCTGAAAATACTGATTAAAATCAGTGAGAGGATAAACAGATGTGTCTGACCACTGGATCCCTGCCAGCATCAGTGGCAGCAAGATGGGAATCAAGTAGGAAACAACTAACACCCCCTTCCTCCCATTTGCTCTCCCATAGTTTGAGCTTTTTGGTGAATCCTTTGTTTTGTTATGATGGTTTAACTCGTTAAGTTTAACAAACACATCAGTGAGATAAGCCAGCTGTGCCACACACTGGGCATCTTCAGAAAACACAGCAAGAGGATGCAGATGATCCTTAAAAAACACCAACCCGTCACAGTGAAGTTCATAAAGTCTCAGTGGTATTCCCTATGTGACACCTAGTGTACGTCAGTGTGAAGCAGCAGCTGTTGATGCTCTGAGCCACTCTAATGATGAAGAGTTTCACACAGTCTGGGATTCAATGGCTGAGATTGAAGTTTATCATCTTTCCAGCATCATCCATAACAGCACTTAGATCCTAATACTATCCAGTGCTTAATGATGAGAAATGTGATGCATCCCTTTAATGTTGGAATTTACCGTTTTTACTTGATTGAAGTTACTGAAGGATCATATCAGTGCAGCATAAGAACTAAAAGCTCCTTTTTCCTTTTTTGTTTCTGGTCCTGCAGACCTGAGAGGTCTG